TTTATGACCATCGAGGCAAAAATGTTCACTGCTGCGCAGCTGACAACAGCGAAAGAGTGAGAGGTGGCCACATTTGACATAGACGATGTGTGGCATGAGTTATGGGCCGTTGCGTTGCGTCGTGTTGGCTTTGTCATTTGGCTAATTGTGTCCGTTGGCCACGTTTTTTGACAGGCCAACATAAATTTGTTGCAATTAATTAAAGCCGCAGAAATAGAAACATCACAGTGTCACATTGGCTGCCCTCCAGTGACCACTTCTTTATATCCACGCTTTTGATTTATATTACACTAATTGATTTATTGACAGATTCTGCCGGCCAATTGTGGCGACAGCGTCTGCCGTTTGGCGCTTCACGGCGGCCTTTTAAGGCGCCACGGACGAGGCTTTTGATTTCTCTCACACCTTATTTGATTAACGTTCGATTCTCGCAATTTATGAAACTTCATTAAAAGCGTAAAATACGCGGCCCACGTTGTCAATGCGCACGTGCAGCATGCGAAAAATGTTAATAAAGTTTTTCCCGCACCTGTTCCCAGTGCCAGGCCTCGCCATCTTCATCATCGCTGCCATTTTTCATTGTAAATTGAATTTATTTGCTGCGGGTGTATATGACTGGCTGAACGTGTGTGTATGTCTGTGTGTGTATGTGTGTATGAGGGATCTTATAGCCTCCACCAGTCGCGACCTGTGTTTCATTTATGTGTACGTGCAGACTTTTCTTTTATTTATATTTTAATTTTCAACATTTTTGTGTCCTGCCCGCTGAGAGAATCTTTGAATCAGAGCATATGCAAATACTTCTTGAATTGACAAGACGTACTGAAAAATACAGTAACACATGAAAAATATCTATATAAATTATTTAACAATTTTTTAATTTATATATTCTATTTTAAATATTAAATAATATGAAAATATATCTTCTTACTCTGTTTTTTATGCATTAGGTTGTCTATATATATCGCTTTTATTTCACTTATTTCATACATATTGCTTTTCTTAAATATAAAGCTTTGATGACTAAGAATAGTTGATGTATTTGAATATCCAGATCATTTGTTTTGCCATCGGCATTAAGTATACGTCACTCTGGCTGTTTGGATAATTATGCAGACTTCTCCCCATTAGGGGCTGTGATGCAACTGCGCCAGCTGTCCAAAATGTTTGATTTAAAGAAAAATTTACATTGAATAATGCCCGTTAACATTATTTAAAATGCAAATATTTCATTGAATTTGTCGTAAAGCTGTGCGACTATAATTTATTTAATTTTTTTTTTTTTTCAATTTTTTATATGTTTATATAGTAGTTGTTGTTCTTTTTTGTTGTTGGTATTTTTGGCTACAGCACACACAATGCTGCTGTAAAAAATTGCATAAAATTGCAACATGTCAACATGCTTTGCCTATGCAATGTCTGAATGGGCGTCTTGTCAACCAAAAATAAAATAAAAATAGGAATACATTTTAAAAGAAGTTTTTGTCAGCAGCATTTGTCAGAAATGTCGTGCGATTGTCAAGTAGACGCATCTTGAGGCAATCGCTACGGGTGAGGTCTTTCCGCAAACTGCCCCCATGACAGCTGCAGCTTGGCTGCACAGAGATGAGATATTCGAGCTGCTAGTTATTAAGGCCTATCTACCTTTCTGCCAATGGCGCGCCCCACTTTCTGCGCATTGCACAACCTATTTACCAAAGCAAAAGTAAAAAAGTTGGAATTGGCATTTGCATAAAGGAAAAGTAAGCGAATGTAACGAGTGACAGACAAACGAGCCTACACCTGACCAAACAAACCGGGACTACGACAGAGCCACGCCCCCACCTGCCTCAACAACAGACTGACTGAGTGACTGCCTGCTGGACCGAGGCACGCCAGCCTATTCCTAGCCGTAGTCAATAGCCACAGTTATTTTTTGTGCTTTGTTTCTTTTATTTCTCAAGCCAACAAAAAAGCAGTTGGCTGACAGTCAGGCGGGGCAGCCAAACGATTTTTCCTAAACGTTTTCGAATTGACATTTTGACATTTTTGGTAGTTGTGCCGGGCCTGGCCAGGAAGCTGCTGTGGCGACAGCTGACCAAGCGCGTTGATGGAATGGCAGCAGCTGGCAATCAAAATTATTTACATACGTCCAACTTCAGTTGGCATATTAAAAAAGATTTTTAAAAATTTCACTCAGCGAGTTTTTTATGGCTACTATAGAATAGAGTAGGTTTAAGCTGCTGTGACAGAAATGTGATATATCTGAAAGGTGTGAAAAATAAATGAACACGTCAATGATAATGTTGCTTGTAAGGACTGGGAAATAGACAAGTAAAGAGTAAGTTTAAGGAAATGGTATTTAAAATAAATACTAGAATTTATATATGGGAAGTCGAGTTACCAGGGATTCAATTATTAAGGAAAAGAGAGCCGAAATCAAAATCTCACCATTTACTTATTATATATTATACTTATATTATTATATTATATTTTCATTAAATTCCTCTTAAGGTTTGGAAAATGATTTAGTTGTGATTCTGAAAGTTGTTCAATTGTTAAAGCTTTACAGAAGACATCAATGAAATCTTATAAAATTATGTTGACTTCAGTATCAAAATATCTTTCAGTCTAGGTGTAAGCTATATTTAAAGGTCTCTGTCAGTACTTTATTACGTCAGACTATGACAAAAATGAAACTTGGCTTGCCTCGGCGACAGCTGAACTACGTTTAGTTGGTGGCCTGCCATTTGCTATTGTCCAAATTAGCATTTTAAACACCTCTTACTTTGGGCAAATGATATGGCACATGGAAAGCGCCGCAGTTGGCGTCAGCTGCTGATGTTGCCTCTGCTGCTGCCGCCGTTGCTGCTTCTGCTGCTACTGCTGCTGTTGGCAGTTTCCCAGGCAGGTAAGTTGGCGACGCGTGTGTGGCCTTTTATGGCCGTTGGAAGCAAGTTTTTTGGCTATCAGCCGACAACCAAATTGAACTCATGTCTGTGCGTGTGTCTGTGTATGTCTGTGTGGCGGGAGTCAGTTTTGGCTACCTCGCTTATATGGTCAGTCGAACTTTCAATTAACACAAGGCGCATCCTCAGCTGCCGCAAAACGTTTTCACGCTCTATGACCAAGTTTGGCCCGGCAGTTGGTCTCGGCATTTTGGCCAATGCGCAATGGTACATTAATTGGTGGACGTGGCTAGGCTGTGGGATAGCGTCTGGTACAGGATTTGTGGCCAAGCGTTTATTAACACCGAATTAATCAACAAGCGTTTGACAGCTGACTGATTTGTGCCGCCCAATTGCCGCGACTCTGCGTCAGAACTGTGGCGCCATGGTCCAGCCGGAAATTTCTAATTATGCTCAAGTCACAATTTAAGAGTAGAGGCAGGGCTGCACGCCCACTTGTCGCTCGATTTGTTTGTATTTAAAACATGAACACTTATGGCTGGCAGCCAAGCGGCCAAGCTCGTTAACCAGGTCCAAGTCGCAGTTGACGGCATTTTTGCTTTGATCTACTCGCAACTTTGTCTTTAAACGCGTGCCGGCAGCCGAGCTGCGGGCTGCCTTGATCAGTACGCTGGAGTTGGGCTTTGTGTGTTCGACACATTAGCAGGCGGCACGCCCATAAATCTTAAAAGCTACATTGAAAGTACTGACGAGCTCTATGTCAAAAGCTAGATCAGTGCGGGGGTGTATGGGGGTAATTCAAAGCGCTGCATATCATTAAAAACGGCTGCTTTAATTTGCCTTTAATTGGCTTGACGCGTTGCGTGCTGCTTACTGCTCAGTTGACTATGTGCTACATATTAAGGAAACATGAGCATAATGGCAATTTACACTCTCATACATACGCACACAGACACAGTTACACACTTGTATATAGGGCGACGCAATTAACATGACATGCTGCTCACGTCTGCCTGATTGGGAACGGCGATTGGATTAACCACAAAACTCAGTTGTCGCACAGGTTGCAAGTAGCAGGTGAAAGAGCAAGAACGTGAGCGTTTAACGTCGACTATGCGATGTCCTTTATATATTATATATATATCATTATATATTTATAATGAATATTAAAATATAATCGTAGGAAATGATGGCTAAAAGAAAAATTTATTGTAAGAGATGATATAATGTATATATACATATCTATATATATATGCATATATAATACAATATACCAGAATATATACCGCTATGTACCTTTATTAATGAGCATATTTGATTTCGACTACATTTTAATTTTCCTCAAACAGTTTGAAACATTTATTCATAATTTTATTAAAGAAAATTATTGATTTTTATTTTTATTAATAATTTACGTGTATATATTAATATTGTAGTATAATGTCGTTGATACCCTGCCCGAGGAGCAGTGTATGAATAAAATTGTGCGTGTCTGTTATGAGGCAGTGGTGGAAGGACGAAGCGGGGCGTAGTACGAGTTGGCTATAACTTAGTCAGTGCTTTAATTTTAATTATTGCTAACCCCCCACTCAGGCCAGAGGGGGCATGTGGGTCTGACTAATTTGCCAGCAACATGACACTGCCGCCAGAGCCATAGCCAGAGGCAGTGCCAGAGCGCAAAGCCAAGCTGCCAAACACACACTCTCAAATACACACGCTTTCGGATGCGTGAAGCGGCTGATTAAGCTGAATACTTGACCAGCTGGTTCACATGCTCACAGCCACTCACGGTTTGGCGGGTCGGCCCGACTCGGCTTGGCTTTTGGCATGCTTTTGCGTTAATTAAGCTACAGTGCAGCAACGCCGCACGACGCTGGCTGCGTGTTGGCCATGTGGCTGCGTCTGGTAATCTCCGCGGATTAATGCGACACTTTGCAGTTAACAGAAGTCGTGTTGCGCTGCTGGTGCTGCCACAACTACTCTTTGCTCTTTTGCACGCTTGTTAACAATATTTCGAGTTGTTGCCCGCTGACGTCGAGCATCGAGTATCGAACATGTGGCCTGCGGCCAAGTGGCAGTCATCGATGCCACAGTGGGGCAGTTGCATTGAAATGCTGTTGAATGCACATATATATTTGTACATATTTACTTTGTCAATTATAAATGGTAACGTCATGACTAGAGGGGATGCTGCTAGCAGCGCGTGCCTCTGTATTATCCTTGCAGGAGCTCATGTTTCATATGCATCGACCAACAATCTTTCGCCACCCGCTGCGCCTTCAGTGGATCCAGGTATATACTTGCCAATGCTGGCCAAGCTGTGAGCCTGTTGAATAATTAAAAATGTTAAGCAAATTATTGTAGCATGTGCCTGCCTAAGTGATTGTATTTATACTAATTTGCTCTGATAGCGAATGATACTGGATTAAGTTGTAAAGTAAAGAGCTGATTAAGCCTTACCTTGGCGCGTTTAATAAGTTCATTTTGGGCTGCGAGAACGTTATCCTTTCTGCCGCCCCAGGAGCGCAAGGCCGAGGCCTGCAAAGCGCGTCCAAAGGCAAAGCTCAGCGCCCATGGCTTGCACAGAGGCACATTGTTGACGGCATTCAGGTTAATGGAGGCTTCCTCCTCGGACATGCCGCCCGATAAGAACATTATACCTGCAGGTTAAAACTAATATTGAACGAGAGTTTATTTCATTCAGATACCTAGTGAGCTCTTACCGGGCACGGCAGGTGGAACAGTTCGTCGCATAGCCAATATGGTAGCCATTCCGATTTCGCCGGGCGTATTGTTCTTATTGCTGTTCTGGCCGGCAGTCACCATGCTGGGGCTGAGTATTGAGCCCTCTAAATAGACGTGATGATCACTCATAGCCTTGTAGACGGCAGCCAGCACGACTTCTGTGACCTTTTGACAACGATCCAAGTCGTGGTCTCCAACCATTAGCACCTCGGGCTCCACAATGGGCACGATACGCTGCGACTGGCAGATGGTCGCATACCGGGCCAGGACGTTGGCATTCTCCATGATGGCCTGATAGGACGGCGTATTCTTATCAATCTTAATTACACAACGCCATTTGGCAAAGTCGCAGCCATCCTTTTTATACTGAGCACAGCGCAAGTGTAGGTCATCTAGTCCCTGGGTGGTGTACTCGTCCATGGAGCAGAAAAGTGGCACTGAATTCTTGTCTACCTTAATGCCTGGAATGATGCCTTTCTTGCGCAGAACATCGGCAAAGGAAAGCCCGTTGTCGGTCTTCTGGTAAAGGGTCTCGTGAAACATGAGGACACCAGAAACATTCTCTGATATCTTTGGGTCCGTTGTGAAGAGCAGCTGCCGATACAGTCGACGATTCTCTTCAGTATTCTCAACACCAACCGTTTGGAATCGCTTGGACATTGTCGATATTGATTCGTCTGCGGAAATAATTCCCTTGCCGGGTGCAACAAGAGCCTTTGCCGTGCAGGCCAATTCCTCCTGCACTTCCCTATTCGGATAGAAGAAGAATGTTGTCATTCCGTTACGCAAAATTTAGGTTCCTATGAATACTAGTCAACAAACAACAAATTTTATAATCTGAACCTAGCCACTAGGTTAAGCTGCAGTTAAACTGACAGCTACACCTAAGGCATGTGGATTCGACGAATAGAAATATAAATTTTGCAAAATATTTTATGGAAAAAGTTTATTTACCAGCAACAAATACTAAGTGTCTTGAAGAAAAGTTTCAGTTCCCTTTTTAAATGGTTCAAATTAAAATCATTCAGTAATATCTTGCATTTATACCTGGAACTCAGTGAAAGCGAATTTAGGGTAAATTGTATGAAACAGGCAGAAGCAGACGGCGATCTTAGTCGATCTAGCCATGTCCGCCATTCTGTACGTATAAGGACAGACAACATCTAATTCACAAAAGCTTTAGACTAGAAATTTATATATATTCTCACTACAATGGGAGGAGTCTGTCATCGTTAACTGCCTTGTTATATTGTTCAAGAGTATCTATTATTAATTATACATATGTTTACAATTACTAAACAAGTAAGTTTGCCAACATATATATATTACGAGAAGCACTTTAAAATTAACCCTAGATCAAATTTACTTTTGATTTATATACAGCTTTGTGGGGATTTATGAGTTCATTAATTTGCCATTGTTAATCTTTGTGTTATTTAGAAAACTTCTTCTTAATTTATGTTTCTTATATTGGCTGCACCTTTGGCGTTTATCACTTCTTAATTGTTGACCGCAGCTTAATGATATTATAATTGGAGTTTTAATTGCTTTCTTTGCGGCGGAGGCTGAGCAGGCTTTTCATTTAAAATACTTACTTTTCGATAGCTGCAGATTAGAGCGCAATCTGGACAGGGTCATAAGGAGAAAAGAAAAGCGCTGGATAAACTTGCCGCACATTAATTATATTTTAGCCGCAGTGAAGAGCGCTGTAGAGCTCGGCCAGCTTCTCTTTTTTATGGCTTTCACACGCACATTTTATGGCAAAAGTTTTGTTAGCACAAATTATACGCAGCAGCGTTGCCAATCTATGTGTATTCGTGCTATCTGCTAGCTTGGCCAACTTTTGTGATGAAAATTATAAGCGAATAGCTTTGCGGGGGCAATTTGCAGAGCATAAATTGAATTTTAAAAACACAATTTTCAAAATGTTTCGCCCGCTTTTTTTTTTTTTTTGTTTTTCCTGCGGCACTGTCCAATTATTTTGCGCTTGCAAAGAAAATATCACTCATACGTTGATAATTCTAATTGGCGTGGGAAACGCAACGAGTGATCCGTTTTTTACTATCTGCTCTTTTGTTGTTTGTTTTTTATTGAAACTGAATTTTTCTGAACTGTTGTGGCGAATGCTTTAAAAGGATCGCTGGCGAGACACTTGCCTAATTTTGTGTAAATTATCGCACGAATTATGAGTCTCGAATTTGAAAAATTTACCAAAAATAGTCAGCATCGTTAAGTTCGATAAATATCAGACAGCGCCAATGTGCAGTCTCTATGTCGATTGGATCAGAGTGGCTTCAATGTGACTGCTCTGGATGTTCATGTGAGTGTGACTCAAGCGGCCGCTCAGTCCAGCTCAGCAGTATCAATATTCAAGCGCCAATTAGGCCAGACACTGCTAACCACTTGCTGCTCGCACTGGCCCAAGCGTCTGGCCAATAAATCTACTGTAAATCTTCGCAACAACTCGGTGGCGGCTCAAAATGTCTTTGCACCTAATTGAGCATGGCTCTGAGTCAGCAGAGCCGACTGTAGCGTGGCAGTAGCAGCAGCAGCAGCAACAGAGACAACGTTGTCACAGTAGCTTAAAAATTATTAATTGATTATCTTTAAACGTTTTAATTGAAATGAGCGTGTGCGCACAAGATTGTATATATTTCCCCAGCTAGCTAGTTGACTAACCAATACTCTAAGATCACTCTTTCTTTCATCATTTCATGATGAAGAATGAAAAATCTGATGGTTAAAGTCAAGTTGAAAGCCGCAAAGAGATCCAGAAATTTCAAAGTTAGTTAAAAATATATTTAAAAGCAACGATCAATGTTCAGTTTTCTTATCATCTGAGTCACTTAGATAACACAATGTCAACTGTAACGCTATAGTAAATGCATATATTTAAACTATGATTCCGTTCTCTTTATTCTTATAGTCAGAAGTCTAATTCAATTTTCCTACATCTACAATCAATTAAAACTATCCGAATAGTCTAAGTCTAGACCATATTAGAAAATTGTTAATTTATAGCGGATTAGCTACTTGAGGACCCTTCACACTTGCCTTGCTGCCAAAACTCTGAGCATTCATTGAACCGTCAATTGGCTGCTCTTAACGGCAATATCAAATTGTCGCTCTTTTTTTCTTAGTAAAGCTTAAGCTGGTCTTGGCTAGACGGGCAATGATGCTGCTGGTCAGCGTTTAGTCAGTCAGGCGTAATTATTGTTATTACCAAATTAAGTAGCCAATTTTTTGTCATCGTTAACGTTGTTATTGCTGCTGCTGTTGTAGTCGACTGTAGTCAGCCTGTCCGCCTGTCCGCCTGCCCGTTGACTACTTCCAGCTGTGGCTCCGTGGCAACTCGTAATCCGCCAACTACTAGCAGCAGCCGCCTGAAGAGCGAGTGCGAATGCGAGTGCGAGTGCGAGTGCGAGTATCAGAAAAGTGGGTGTCTGTCTGACTTACTCACGCTGTTGCTGCGTGGCATTTTTTTACGATTTTGGTTTCCAATTTTGAGCACAAAGTCGTTTTGACCAAAATAATACACATACACACACACACACAAGAACACATGTATGGTGGCATAATTTTCAAGGAAAATCTCTTCATTTTTAATGTGCTTGGCAGCCACAGCAACTGGTCACATATGTTGGCTGACTGGGCTATTGCGTTGTCGTTTGTAAAAATCAATAAAAAATTATCAAAAAAAAAGTGGAAAAAAGCCGCAGTTAGTCGACGTGTATGGCAACGTCTTGCGCCTGGGTTGGGGGTGGGTGGCGGTGCTTATAAATCGACTGAGATTAAATCGAGCGCACATAATCATATTTAGCTTTTGGCTAGAGTTCAGTTGGTGGATGTCAACCTCAGGCCAGCTCGACATGGTTGGCCCCTCGTGGTTGGCTGGACCCCGCATCGTGGATCGTGCAGTGCATTTAACATGGCCAAAAACAATGGCTAAGCGCCACCATCTATGAATTAATCACGTTCATAATTTTGCGTCGTGTTGTCTTGTCTTGTGTTTCTATTTTTGTTTCAACTGTTCATAACTTCTTTTTTTCTCTCGCGGTTAATTTGCCTAAAAAAGGATTTGAGCCAATCGAGTAAAAAAGCCAAATCAGCCGTTAAATCGCCAAAAATCGACGCCACTAACCACAGCTTGGACTGCCTGCCTAGCCGCCTGACTGGCTGCTGGCCAAAGCAACTCATAACCAAATTGCATAATTATGCAACGCTGTTTCTTTGTCGTTTGTTTTGTTGTTTCGGGTGTTTGTTGTGCCATGCCCAGGCGCGAAAATGCTTGTGTGTGGTCATGTTGTAACAATGCATTGTTCAATTGTGATTATAGGCACATGCAGATGAGGTGTTCATGCGACGATCCACAGCATATGCTAATAAACCAGCACGCCGTGGTTAAGTGCTTATCATTTAAAACGATGAAATCTAACAACAAGAACTTTCCATAAATAGTGAAGCATCTTAATTGAATATGTGTAATATAATGAGCATGAATATAAAATTGAATCGAGAGAAGTACTTAGCCTACATTGATTTGTGGGTATTACCCAACACTCACACAACTGATTAAGTCTGTCAACTGAGAAAGCAAGTTATTATTTGAGTCGGTCAAAGTCTGTTTTGTAAAATGAGTTCCAGTCAGTTTAAGCTGCCGAATTTACCCTTGAAAAAAAGGAAACATCAAAGTTCTGTTGAGCCGGAGGGGGTTGAGCTGCAGCCATGTCAACAATGCTTGGGTAAAAAGACAGGTGAGCTACACATATATTGCTGCACTGTGCAGCTAAGAAGTACTACAGCTAAACAGGATTGTCGGAGAAGGATGTTCTGGTAATAATCATCGATCATGATGCCAATCAGAACTATGTGAGACGTGATGTTGAGTTGTTCGGCAAAGTAGTTTGCTTTCTCATCGTTTTGGGCAATGCGCATCTGCTGCAACGCAATGATAATGATTTGGTCATACTTGCCTGTTCTAGCCATGCCGTGTAAGTCGAAGAGATCGAGTGAGGTTGGACGGTCTAATGGCCAATCGTTTACAGTAATTTAATTTATCCCGAAGAGTCGTTCGACAAACTGAACTGCTGTGACTCGCAGATGGAGCAGTTTGCCATTGTGGAGAGTCTCACCAAGTTGAGGCTGTGTAATCTACTGACCCAGGATATGCACCGGATGGCTCGCGAAGCTAGACAGGCAAACAAACAGATGGTGACTGCTCTACTTCCTGGCACCGTGGGCATGGCCCTAAGCTATTTGAGTCGCTGTAAGCGTGAGGCTTCCAAAGTCATGCAGCTCAACGGACGCATACTGATTGTCAGCGGCTCCATGGAGCCGTCGATTCAGTTGGCTAATAAGCACATGAATGTCTTTCAGGCCGCTGCCAAAACAGGCGTGGTCATCGATGTGTGCGCCCTGGAGCTGGATTCGTCGTACATGTTGCGGCATGCAGCGGACATAACCGGCGGCTTTTACTTTGGCACTAGCGACTTTGAGGCTCTCGGCATGAACCTGCTCTGCCTGTTCCTAATGTCGCCTAAGGCACGTCACCATATAAATTACCCGAAGCAGCCCCAAGCGGATCTACGCGCTGTTTGCTTCTGCCACAACAAGCTCATCGAAATTGGATTTGCCTGCAGCAGCTGCATGGCGAGTGAGTAGTCTTCCTTGAAGCTAAATCTTTGCTGTTACTCATGACTCATTTATCCCCTGCAGTCTTTTGCAAGTACATTCCGATTTGCGGCAATTGCGAGTGAGTATAAGCATACATATATTGCTGACATTATCCTGGCAGAGAGCATTAAGTTGTTTCGATGTTCTTATGTCCGTCGATCCGTTTTAATTTATGCCGACCGTAACATATTATTTTTGACAACAAAACATAATGTAGAATATATGAAAAGGGTATTTATTCTTCGGCTTCCGAAGTGTGCCATTTTATCTTTAATATAATATTCCATTTTACAGCACTATCTTCAAGCCGCCCGAGAAGTTGCAGCTGTACATTGATAGGAAAGCTGCACACCGACGAAATAAGCAATTTTCAAAATCTATGCAACTGGAGCTTTAGATATAGTTTATTTAGCTATGCATTTCGTTTATTCTTATGGTAGTTTTACAATTCATTTCACTTGACTTTGACTTCAACTTCTCAACAGAATCAGTCAATTAAAGCAACGCTGGATGGCGCAGCCGCATGAATAGACCGCAACGCACGTGCGTGCCACATAAATTCGCAGATTTCCTCATGTCAGACACTTGACGGCGACGCCATTTTGTGAAATCTTCATTAAATCAACTTTCAGGCGATTGCGCACAGACGCGCTAAGGATGTCCCTGCTCGAGCGCCAGCATACTTTACGGGCCGCAAAGCAAATATTTTTCTTTTTTCCTTTTGCCTTCATTTTTTGCTTTTCATTAAAATTTACGCATTATCGCATAAATACTTATGTACATGCCAGAGAGAAGTTGCCCGGTCGCCCCCTTTCTCTGTCTCCTATCTCCTGTTTCCTGTGCTCGGCTTGGCGAAGTTTGGCCAATTTTTACCAATTAACAGAGGCGCAATCTCACGTACATCGGCCATGCGTTTGTCGCATTTTCATTTCGCCAGCGGTTGGCGGCGTCGTCTGATGCTCCTGCTGATGCTTCGTTGTTTGGGTTTCAATTTCGCGTTGGTTTTTATAGGCTTACGGGCAGCCGCGGCGCTACCATATCGCCCAGCCCACAGGCTCGTATCAGTGGCAGTCGTTAAAATGCTTGTCATAATTCCACTTATATGCATGTGACATTTAGCGGCGATGGCCATTCAAGATTCCCATCGGGGCGCACTGGAGTACAACATTTATGGGCTGATACGAGGCTGGGTGTGTGGCCACCCAAAGGCAATTATTTTAAACTGTGGGGTGGTTGTATGCAAAATATTTACGCCACCTATGCACAGTGGGCTGTGAATATTGTATTTTAACATATATTAATAATTTCAATGAGAACTATTTTTATTTAAAAAAGGTTTAATGTAAAGAGGTAAAGAGGTTTATGGTCATCATAATTTTAGTTAATATGTGATGAATGATTTATTATAATATAATTAAATTTATTATTGCAAGCTGCCCAATCAATATTATTTATATTTTAGGAAGTTTAGGAAAATCGTAAGTTGCATATTTATATTTGATAACTACTGTGCGTTATGGATTCGTCATAAGTAAGCCGCTTGGTCTGCATATTTCAATTTATTTTTTCACACTCGTTAATTTCCTTTGTTTAAATTTGCCTGGGCGTACATTGCGTATGCTTAATGCAATGATATTTTTTGCCATTTGGCATGCCAAATATTTGCGTGGCTCTGGGCCATAACCTTGCCAAAGAGGCAGTCAGGTAGTCAGGAGGCCAGCAGCTGGTAATTGTCAATGGCGTTGGCGTTAACTTTGACGTTGACGTCGTTCTCGCAGTTGGCGTCGCAGCTACACCGTTACAGTTGGCTCTTTGGCGTTGGCGTGGCCGGCGCACGTTTCGATTTACAGTCAATGAATGCGCTCGTAAGTCGTGAAACACTTTTTTGCACTTGCGTTTGGCTTTGGCTTTGGCTTTTTAATTTGCATTTTCAGTTGGCGACCACCCACACTGTCTTCGATTGCTGCCTGCTGGCTGCTGACTGCTGGTTGCCGCCTGCTGCTGACTCAGTTCCCATTCATAAACTCAAAAAGTTGTTCAGGTGGTGACTGCCGCATTTGGTTTGCAAAGTGCAAGCGGATCGAACTTTTTCCTTTTTGGCAAAAGTTCAAGCAAAAGACGTGCGCACAAGCTTCCTGCCCTCTCTATCAATCAGTCTGAAGTTAAATTCAATTGGGCATTGCGAAATCTATTTTTCTTAATTGCATGCCTGGCACTTTTGTTAAGCGACAAAACATTTATCAACGCTACCTGCTGCTTGCTTTTATTGCATGTTAATTGCCCAGCAGAAACACAAACACCACGCCTATTGTTCGAAAGCCACGCCTATGGCATGCAGTGCACCTGACCAAGGACATGGTCTCGGTCCCTTTGGGAGTTTTGTTTAACTTTGCTGGAAATGCAATCAGAGTGGAAAACGCTTGGTGGTCAGCTCAGCGAAAGGACCGACTACAGCAGCTGCTCGTGCCGAACAGAGATGCAAACTGGAGAAGTGAACGAGCTCGCGACACCTTCTCAAGTACTGCTTTTATTAGCAATTGAGCTGCTCGCGTGACTTTCATGCTCACGAGCTATTCACGCGCGCATCTCCAGTGTAAACATTTGCTGGCAGACGCTGTTATTACCTGTCCAGCCTGCAGTGTGGGCGGCAGCCGGTACACTTTGCTATAAGCTGTAGGCGTGGCAAATATCGTTGTAAGTACAACACATTGCACATTTCCTCGGCCTGTGTGTGCAGCCCCAAAATGGTGACAAATAACTGGAATGGCTAAGTGGGCGTGTGCGTGTGGGCGTGTGTGCTTGTGCGTGTGCGCCCTTGACTGCATTGCTAATTGTATCTCGAGCTGTTGTCTGCTACAGTTGCAGCACTTTGTGCGCCATGAGATTTATGCGCTCTGACAGGAAGCTCTTGATTAATTGAACTTTAATGAAAAGATTTATGTGGCTGCAATATTAAAACGCACAACAGACCCACATTTTGGTATCAAGTTAATTGCTTTAATTGTTTTGACGACTTTACCAAAATAACTGTGGCATAATATAATTCTATATTCCTCAAGGCTGACAAACAATTGTATGAACTTTTCTATTTGAATTAACTACCACAAAAACATCTTTCCTGAGCTAGACCGGGTAAAACTAGGAAATAAATCTTTGACTCATTGTATGTCCAGTTAAGCATTAACATTAGGGTTTCAGTAGTTTCAGCAGCTGATTTTTTCGAAACTCTGCTTAAATTTGAATGCGATTACGTCTCCGAATGAACAATGTGCATCTGTTCTTCCCCAGAATATGATCATGCTGCAATAGTGCGACAATCGCACCAAAGCAAATCTGTCATCTAAAGGCTTCAATATGACATTCATTTTCAAATGCTACCATGATTTACATACTCGCTTGTGAACTAAATGTGTTCAAAAAAAGCTTAAATTCTGACTAGAAAATCAACTGGAAGTCAAATTCAAATAACCTGGACTTAATGCTTACGATAAGCACTTCAGCATGGTATCAAATTGTTGATAATGAGCAATGTAATAACATAACCTTATTAATCCGGATCAATCTATGCATAACTTCAAGAGTTAGCTTAATAAATTCTTAGCTTCAGTTGTTTCTTAGCTTTCTTTTCATGGAACCACTTCGCATCCATCACTAGGCAATCGAATGCGCTAATGCGTATTTGTTATTCAAGCCGCAACGCTAAAATGCATCGTTGGCTTAGCCATAATTCATTCAATATAATCGCATGTGAATGACAATTCTATAACTCATTATGTGCGCCTGCTCCACATTAGACAATGGCTTGGAGCAGCCATACAAATGCGCGCAGCTAATTGATATTCTTCAGCGATAATCATGGAAATTTATGCCACAATATGTAAAATATTTCTTCAACGGCGGCGTCATCCTCATTGTTTCTTCAAGCGCTTACAACAAATTGCAATTGCAGCAGTTTCTGCATATTAATTTTCACAGTGCTGACGTAGACAAGTTGTTGTTATTGTTGTTGTGGCTGTTGCCGGCACGAGCTGCTGTTGCTGTCGTGTCTCGCATTGTTTCAGCTGCTGCTGCTGGCTACTGCTAGTAATGTTGCTGCCGTAGCAGCCACTTGAGCGCCGCTTCTGACAACTGTAACAATGCACTTTCAAATGATAATTGTTACAACTTTTATCGTTGATATCGTTGATGCTGGCAACTGTTGCCACTGCTGCCGCCGTTTGCTGTTGCTGCAGCAACATTGTGGCCAGCCTTTGGTTTGCAGTTGTTATTGTTATGATTATTGCATTGTTACTGCCATTTTATTGCATCTGCGTTGCTTTCTTGTCTTTAATACCTTCAACTACACAAGCCCAATTGGGCGCAGCAGCATGCAAACAAGTTGTCCGTTGCTGGCAGTAGTTGGTAGTAGTAGTTCTGAGTTCGAACCCTACTCCAGCATTTGGGCTGGCAATTATTTTACGTGTCGTTGATAGCAGCAGGCCCTAACAAATATTCATCGCTGGAGCTTTTTTCATGGTGTAAGGGCGGCATTTGTTTGTTGTTCTTTCACGTTGCAATATTGTCAAAGCCTGTAAAAACACGAGCGACAACCACATTTTGTTTGCATAAGCCTGGCAGACAGTTGGGCCGAGGTGGGCTGGTTAAGTGGCAAGGGGCATGGCCCTAGCCGAACGACAGTTGGCAGCCAACGCTGCTGCCTCGTCGATCAGACGACCAAACGTGCTGCTAGAACACGATTTTTCCTGTTTTTACTTTTTTGTTGTTGTCATTTTTGTTAGCCACGTTTATTGTTTGTGGCTGCGACATATATTTGGGCATTCATGTTTTACCTAATTCATTTTGATTTTTATTGATTCTCGATTTTGTTTATACCGGCTACCCCGTTTTGGTTAGTGCGGCTGGGCAAAATCAATTTCATTTATTAGACGAAATGTTGGCAAACTTTAGTTTTTCAGTTTTGTGAAACTATTTTGAATACGCTGCTGGCACATGTGAATGTTAAATATTTGCTAAAGTTGCGGCTTAAGGCCTTGAACTTCTAGCTAATAACTATTTCAATCCATGCTGGGCTTGATACTTTATCCCAAACTCTCTGAAAATAATCAAATATCTCGCGTTGTTGTGTAAAATGTAAATAATATTTCTTGATTACATTTTGGTTAATTTTTTATGCATGGCGCTTAGCTGATGCCAACTAATTGACACTTAACATGGCTTGGAGTATTTTCAAGTTAATTGTGTGTCGACATCAGCAACCGCAGCCCCTCGACTACTACTCCAGCTCACCACTCATTCCATTTAGTTTCACTTGCCCGTTGGCTGACTCCGTTTGAACACATGTTAGTATTTAAATTGCCTTGTCGTCTGTTGTTGTCGCTGTTGGTTGCGGCTTGACATTTTATCGATACACCTGCGAAATTGCTGCTGCCACGCATCGGGCTTCCATATGCAAATAAACGACATAGAAACTGATTTAAAAACAAAAGCCAAAAATGTGTCCCCATCAGGCCAGCAAATATGTACAGCCAAACTCTCAGCTCTCAACTCTTCTCTGGCAGCATTTGCGGTCACAACAACAAAGAGACCAACAATCGAACTAACTCGTTTCCATAGCCAACAAATTCAGAAAACTCAAAATACTTTTGCCCATCAAATTGTTAAGCGAATAACTGAAATTGTGAACAATTTTTTAGGGGTATTCTCGGCTTTTGTAATGTTATAGGACGCGTATTAAAATTGTTATAAATGTAAAAATATTTATTTATAGAAAAATTCAGACATGTTTCAGCTTCAAATATCAACAGTACAAAAAAAGCCAGTTTTAAATAGATTTTTTTAAGTAACAATCGAATTTAATTACTTTCAAGCAAACCTTTCATATTTCGATAGAGAAATTTTATAAATAATTAAATACATTTTGTTCAATTAAAAGTATACACTATTCAAAATTCAATATTTTATAAGAGTATATATTTACTCCAGGCAACTCGAGGTATTTAATGTTTGCTTTTGTGATGCTCAATTTGCATTTGAAAAAAAATAAAAAATACATCTTAATTTGTTGCATTTTATTTATTTTAGTTTTATTTATTGTTATATGAATATTTGGACTTTTGCTTTTATTTAAATGTCTCGTTTTCCATTTTTGGCACTTGGAACAATATGCAAAAACAAAACCTCAGCAAAGTAAGCAAATGAAAAAATATTTAACAGCTTTATTCGCATTCAACGCGACTTTTGTCGCACTCCCAGAAAAATAAACCTGTTACTTCGAGTGCGCAAATAAAATAAAAAAATGATCTTTGGCTATATAGGGAGGGTCGCATGAGTGATAAGTGTTTTGGTTTCATTGAGTGCGGGTACAACCCATTTTTCGTTTATGTGATATGATTAAGTGTGAATGTTTTATTGCGTAGACTGTCAGATGTCGATTTTTATGCAGACAAATAAATGATTTTAAAGGCTGAGGCTATTAACGTGGCTTAAATGCAACAGTTAATATATAAATAAAACTCAATTTAAGATGCAAGCTTAAAATAAGTTAAATAATAATTTTAAATAAATTTAAATAAGACTTATAAAGCCTTACCTTTTCATCAATTCGAAATATGTTTACAATTTTCTGCACGCAACGCCGATATTTTTATAAATACTCTTGGCTCGTAGGGCAATAAATTAAAAGTCTGCCAATTACCACTGAATTGCAATGAATTCCTTTAAACGTTTTTTGTTTCTCATTGAGGCAAAGGTGAAAATGGTCTGTCGCTGTTGGCTGAATTCTATTGCATCAGTGTGATTATCAAAAACAATTTAACGTCATGTTTGGGCGCATAAATAATTAAAGCGTTTGCATTAGTTTTGCATGGGACACGTTGCATGTTGCGTGTGGCGTGCGGCACGCTGTCAGAGAGGCAGTGCTGCAATGTTTCAAATTTCAATAAGCACTCTAATTGTTTTTAAGTGTTTTCCACCAGGCTGCAAACAACGTAAATGAGTCGTAATTGCATAATTCAAATTTAGCGTCGAGTTCTAAGCACCAAAAACATGTTGACTACATTTAATGCATGCGCCACGTTGAGTGTTTGAGTTTCAAGTTTGTGTCCCAGTGGGTGTGTGGGCCTGGGTATTTGTGGCGAATGGGTCGCTTATTCACTCGTTTTGTCTAATAACTTGGTGCATTCGGTGGCGCAGCTACTGCGCTACCTGATTGCCAACCCACCTGGCTGGCGGCTGTAATCGAGCAGGAGTTTTCAGTCGCTGCTGGCGTTAAAAACTTTACGAATTATGGCCCAAAGCCTGGCACAGGTGGCAGCAAATTCACATACACTTTAACCTAGTATGTGCCTGAAAATATGCACGTGTTTGTGAGGAATTTTAATAGTAATAATAAATGCAGGTAACGATGTGTAAGACGTGTGTATTAGCTTGATTAGTTGTACTTGAATTGCCTTCGTGTTGGTTAAAAGAGGTTGACCATTATTTAATTTTTTTTTAAGTTAGAAATGTTTATTTTAAAAGTGAATTTTATAATATTTATTTTTTAATATTTTGTTATATAATTAATATTGATATTTTGAAATATTTCAATGAAACCTACAAGTATACATAACTGCATATTTATTCATTTATTATTTAAGTATTTAAATTATAAAATTGATATTAAGTATAAATATTTTTTAATTATCTACTTTTGAATTGTGATTTATTGCGAATTGTGATTTAAATTAGTATTTTGTTTTAAATTTAAATTAATTTTGTAATTCGCATTGCTAAATTAATAGTTGACGCATGTGCCGCCTGACTGTAGCCCACTTAGCCGCTTTAAATTAACAATTTTACGTGCTTTGAGTGCTTGCATATATACATATGCAGTCATATATATTTACGCAAGTGTGCTTGTTGTGTGGGCGTAGACTTAAGTCCTTATTGCGACACCTGCACAAAGCAAATACCAATTAAGAGCTTTTCCCGTGCAGCGAACCCAACCGACTCCGTTCAAAGTGAGCGCCATCGAGACAGGGTGAGAGCGATAGCCGGAGCTAGAGTCAGAGGCAGAGAAGGAGGCGGAGACGGAAACCAAGGCCAATGGCTGAAACAAGCAGCCGTACATGCAATTAAGCCACCGCAACACAAACAGAGGCCCAGCAAAATGGAGGAAAATTAAAATGTATATAAAAGCCACAACATGACTGCGCCAGTCAGTTAGCTGGCGATCGACGCTTGGTACTATTGTTTGGCGATGAAGCAGGAAAAGCCCCAAATTAAACGCGATTGGAGGGCGGCTGGCTGGAGATTCGTGGATGTATTGACGGAATACTGTCAGACTTGCAGTCTGGCGGGTTTTTCCTATATAGCAAATCATAAGTAGGTCATGGTTGGTGCAACACTTATATATATTGTTTAATTTGGTTACAGCTTACACTTTACCGAACGCATTTTTTGGCTGCTTTGCATAATCGTCTCGACCGCAGGGGTATACTATCTGATCAATCAATATCAGCGTGACTTCACTTCACGCGCTGTGAGCATTGTTCACGAAAGTCTTTCGCCATTTGCCAAGGTAAAGTTTCCATCGATCAGCGTTTGCGAATTGCGCTTCAAAACCGATTTTCCACGAAATGTCGAGGAATATGTAGAAAGGTAATCCAATTAACAACAAACAGGCGAAAGCGTATATCTCAAATTTCTTTCAGCCTGGGCACAGATCTGAACAGTCCCTACAACTGGGAGGTGGAGTCGTATTTGTCCTTTGTACTGTTTCCGTATCAGTATACCACAGGTATGTTTATTCGCTGTAAACCGTACGAAGATTGTGAGCAATGTGCCAAGTGCCCCAAGTCGAACTACCGGGAATTATCGTTAAAGGTACATTGAAAAATTTGTTGAATCTTTAGAGAATATTTCAGACAGTTTTCTTACAGTTCGGTTTCAATTGCTCGGATCTGTTTCTAAATTGTAAATTGGCGGATGAGGTTTTCGATTGCTGCAACTACTTTCTGCCGATGATCACACCTTTTGGTCGATGCTTCCTGTTCAACTCGTTGCAGAACAACCATCCCGGTTCGAATCATTGGTTTCCGGCTATTTTGGATCGAAGCAGTCATCCGGAAATGAACCTGCATCTGTCACGCGCCGCTCTGGTAAGTGTGCTTAACGAGGAGGACGTTCCGAATATACCGCTGCCAACGGTGGACGTGATTGTGCTGGAGGGACAGCATAAGACTCTGCAGTTCCACAAGGAGGCCATGGTGAATGATCCCAGCATGAAGGATATCCCGATAGCAGCACGGGACTGCTACTTTCCCGACGAGGTGATGCAATGGAGCATGTACAAGGCATACAGCTTTAGTGCCTGCATCAGCGACTGCACCAGGCTCTACCAAATGGAGCTGTGCAACTGCTCCGTCTACAATATGAGTCCATATAAAACTGATCGCTACCCGGATTGTGACTTCAACGGCTACTTATGCTTGGAAAGTGCTTCTATGGTCAAGCAGGATGTGAAAAGGCTGTTTCGCATCGATTCGCCGACGTTGCATTGCCATTGCTTGCCCTCCTGCACCGAGGGAGACCTAAAGTCAATTTATGAAGATCAAATTAGGTGAGTTCTTTATTTTTTCCCTGCATAAACATAACGTTTATGTTTTTTAATCTCTTAGCACAAAGAGAAAAGCCAGGGACACTAATGTAACCCTTGTGATGCCTGTGTGGCCCACGGATCAATATCGTCGTCAAGTACTGCGATCCAAGCTCGACGTGGTCGTCTCCATTGGTGGCATTCTGGGCCTCTTTCTCGGCGCCAGCATCCTGAGCGCCATTGAGTTTGTCTACCACTTTACCCTACGTGCCGCCAACACGGCGCTGATGGAACGCAGAGCATTGGCGAAATTCAAATAGTTGGCAACGGTTTTTAGGACATCAATTTGTTGCTTCTATTTATTGATCAGCTTGGAATATATCTAAAATTAATTGTACTACCCTTGCTCGTTTCCGTATTAATATATCGGAGAAACAACGGAGAGATATTTTAAACAGTAATTTAATCACAGCTTTAATCCATAGGTCAGTTGCATGTGGTGCAGGTGCATTTACAATAAAATTTTATTAAATATTTGCCCGAGGCGGGCAGACTGCAATGCGCATTAAAAATGCAGCCATGGCCTGCTCTCGTGCCAAGGATACGGATAAAGAAGCCCCACAGTCCAAGTGTGTGACGAAAATCAATGAAACTTACAATTTGCGCAGTCAGCGGGCAGAGGCCAACGCCTGCAGTGACTTCATCTCGCAATTTTAACAGAGTTCCTCCTCCTCAGCTGCGCCCTGAACACTCGGCTATCGCCTTGTTTGCAGGCATCATAAGAATTTCATTTGCTGTGTTTTAAATATTTAAAATGCCGTAGCAACACGAAAAGGCGCAGACGACACAACAAAAAAAATTAAACATAAAATGTGAGCACATTAATTCTGTTGCTTCGAGTCCTTTTTGTGACCAAAAACAATGGTTAATTAATTATGCACTACGACAATTAAAGTGTCACGAAATGGGCCTTTGCGCTCCAGCTGACGGTCTAAGCCACTTCAGAGTATATCGAATATTACAGTAATTTGCCGAAGAGTCAATTCCGGTAAGCTCGAAACTATCGAACTATCCTCAGCAAAGTTGGCAACATTCTTATGATAGTTACTACTTTGATTTCATTTGAACTGATACATGTCAACTTTCTCTCTCAGATGAATTAGGGTCCTGAATATATCTGAGTTTTTCTATTCAACCTTTTAGTGTTGATCTTCACAGAAGTCTAGTGTGGCCAGTAAGTTATCAATACAATTTATTGTGAGTTGAAGAACTAATAAGATATGTAAATATAATATCTAACAAGTAGGAGAATAGTGAAGGATTTTTAAACTGAACTAATTATAATAACAGAATTTGAAAGAATTTATATTCTTATGGTAAATCTGACTAGAATTATAATGATATATATAGTAATTTAAACTTCATCGCAATTTATTCCCTTTCATATATCTGAACTCTTACTAGTAAGAGCAGAGTATTCAGCCAGGTCACTCACCAATTTTTATTCAAAAGTTACGGGCAAAAACATCATGTTCAACCTCAAAAATTTCCCTTGCCACAAAGTCATAAATAATAATCTCGCCATTTCATACAAGGTTTGTTATTTTATTTAGCTATTATTTTTTCTTCTTTTTTCCTGCCCTTTTCCACTCTGTTGAGGCATTCTATTTTATTTCATTCAGCGCTTAGCTGCGTCGTCGGGGCTTTCCCTTTTCTGTTTTCGCTTTTCGGCTGGCCTTTTGCCTTTGCACATTCATAGTCTTATTCGTATTCATTGTGCATTTGTGCTTCGAGGTGTTGGCATATTTATGCCGGAAATCCCTTTTATTCACTCAAATGTTTGTCCACAAAGCAGGGCGAAAAAAAGAAAACAAAAATAAAGTGAACCGCAGTGAAAGTGTCGCCGAGAGAGCAGCAAAAACTATGCCCAGCTACGCAGTGGTCGTCCAGTCCAACTTTTTGGGGACACGCTGTCAACTTTGTAGTTGTTGCTTGTGCCGCTTCTCCCTCATCTGTTCGCTGCTGTTGTTGCTGTTGTATGTTTCGCGCGTATCATTTATCAAGCTCAGCAAAAAAGGGAACATTTTTGTCATGTTAAACTGTCAGAGTGCGCATTTAGTCATTACTTACATTTTGCTAGCTCTGCTGCACGCAGCCCCCTTTAGTCGGCTTGTCAGTCTCTTTCTGCTTGTCATACACATGCAAATGCAACACACACACGTGCACACTCAGAGAGTCACACACCTACGCACCAGCAAAATGTAATTAAAAGTTGCCATGCAAGTCTGCGGTTGAGTTTTTATTTTCATTTTCATGTTCGTTTCCGCTTCCGCCTTCGTTTCGGCTCCCACGCGTCTCGCTTTCTCTGGGCCATTAGCATAACGCTCGAGAGTATGCAACACTTTAATGAAACGCCCCATTTGCCATTTATCAAACTCGGACGGTCGTCGCAAATGTTAATTATTATGTTTTATTGCCGCAGATGGGGCAAGATTTGTATTTCAGTTCCCTGTGATTTGGCCGACACTGAAATATGGCCTACACTCAGCATGTGGCCAAGTGAAAGCAGCAAACTCGTGACCAATTTAAGGCCAGCTGAGCCAAAACTATTATTAAAATTGAATTTAATTGAATAAAGACTTGAATTAATAAAGTTCCAACCACACAATTGCTTGTAATTGAGATCGATTTCCTTAACTGGCAATAGTTTAATAGTAAAATGGCATACAGAATTTGGACAGTTGCGGCTGCCTTAAATTGCATTCCAATTGCAATTGGAGATGGCACTGTAAGCAATTGAATTTGCAGGAGAAGTGCCGGGGAAATGAGATTGGCAAAGGCAATAGCAATGGCACGGGCAATGGGAAACGGAAACTATTTTTCAATTACCTTTTTCGCACGCACGTTTGCTTAGCATTTTACCTTTGTGCGAGACTTGCCGTTGCCAGCCCAGTAACTTTCGTCATTCTACACGCTTTTCAAGAGAAACGCTTAAGTTGCAAACAAGGAACAGTGGCCGGAAATGGAGCTTATCGTGGCAGAGTTTGAAAAGATTTCAAAAGTCTTAAGCTTCCGCTTAATTATTTCAGTATTGCTAACGAGCTTCAGCTGCATTTGACGCATTTATATTATTTGAATCTAATGATTTTCTGGATGTTATACAGATAGTTCAGTGAAACTTAATATATATTAAATTGAAGAGAAAATAGTGAATGCCTTCATTCAGCAGCTATTGATTGAGTTGCGAGCACACTAGCCAGCTGCCTATCAAGATACCATTGTAAGGGAATCTATATTTCGTCTTCATAAAGCAAATGTAAGACAGCTCTTTCTTTTCCGACGTTTCCGGTCTCCTCTCATTTCAATGCATGACTGTTGCAATGCCTTTACGTACACTTGGCCCATGTGATAGTGTGTGACTGTGAGAGTACAGTCTAAGTGTATGTAGTTAGCAGTTTTTCAATCAACGTGGCACACACTCACTCACAGACAGTCAGTGCTAAGAAGAGCTGCTTCAGTTTGCGTTAACAATTGCCTTTTGCTGCACTTTTAAATTTCCTCTAAGCGGAAATCTATTTAAATTGAATTCTATTCTTTGGCTGGCAATTCATGCTGCAGAGATGCATTCTTGTCTGCTACTGCTGCTTCTTCTTCTTTACCTGCATCTGGTTCTTCTTCTACTACTGTTGGTGCAGTAAGAAAAGTTTTCACAGCGCACTTTACGCATTGGGAATTATATTAAATCCTTGGCTGGCATTTCCATTTCAATGGATAATCATTATGAGTGTAGCTGCAGACGGCACTTGCTGCAGCCATTGTTGTAGTTGTTGTGTTGCCATGGCAGCAGCCATTTTGTTGCAGACTGTACAGGCGAGCAGACGCACACACACATATTTATGCATATTATGCATTTTTTACACATTTATGTAACATTTGATTGTGTTGACTGTGGCATGCTGCATTGTAGGTGTAAATACTTGCCTTTGGCGTCCCAGAACGTTGCACAACAGCTCGTATGAGTAATATTTATTCACGCTCCGCTTTTGTCCGCTTTGTTACCCACACAAGCACACACACACACGGACACACACTCAGACTCCAACACAGACATGTGCGAAGTGCAAGCAAGTCGAAAGAAGCATTCAACATATGCCAAGCATAAACATAAGCAGGAAATTCATTTTTCATTTGTTTGTTAAAACTTCTGTGCGGAGCTGGCAGAAAGACGCTGCTGCTGTGACGCTTGAATTATGAATATTCATCATACGCTAACGTGGCCGAGCAGCTGCACTTATTATGCTCAAATTAAGGAACCGTTTTTGGAGCATATATGAATACGAATATCCTTGCCAAGGTCCTGCACGACGGCCGCGCAAGAAAATAGTTCTAGTGCCAAAGGAAAATTTGAAATTCCAACAAAAGTTGAGTGGGCAAAAGAGAAAATAGAAAAGAAAGGAATGCAATTTAGTCTAGCCGGCAGCTCGGCGACCTTTCCAGCACGCCATAAAACATCAGCTGTTTAACGCACAGCATTTTTGAGATTTATGTCCTGAAAATTGTTGCCGAGATGAAGTTCCAGTTTTTAAGGCATATCAAAAGTGCTGCACAAGTTGTTTTGCCAACTATTTCGAAGAGGTCGTTTGTCTTTTCGTGAGGTCACGGGGTTAAATGGTTTCGGACAGTAAAATGAGTAACTTAGCTAAACTATGAATTAGCTTTAACATGCTCAGATCCTTCAAATCGATATAAACTATATGACAAGAATGCAAAGGGAATGTGAACTATGCATTCACTGAATCTTTGGCACCGATCTAATGCTATTAGTCGGCTCAAGTTAACTATGAATCCAAAAATAAGATCTATCTTATCTGTATACATATATACTGAGAGAATTTAGTTAAGTGTGAAATATGTTCATATATTTTTTTTTATAAAATTCAGAGCTCCATAAAATAACTATCATTTCCTGTGCCAGCAAGAAATAGCACAATCTGCACAGAAAGTGGACATTATGTTACGGGCAGCATCTGCAGCTTACATCTATTCCAATAAAGAGGGCAGTCAGTCAGTGTGAAGCGTATCTTATCGGAGGGACTATTAACGCAACAATCCGAAAAGCCAACTTAAGGCCAAGCGAACAGACGCGTGGCCAATGCTGTTGACTGTCGGGTGTTATCAGCGACAGACCGGGCCCATCAGCAGGTTGTAAACTACGAGGGCGAGGAGCGATTCAAATCCAAACGAAATAACCACGACAAATGTTTGCACGTGCTTACCTGGCGCCATAAACCAGAGCCGAAGCAGAGACAACACGAGTCGCAGCAGCAGCACAAATCCCCAGCAGCACTGAAGTCAGGCCAATGTCCTGTCATTTAAGCTGAGCGCACCAGAA